TCTATGCTAACAAAACTTGCTATAGCATGGACTATGTAATATAACTTACCATGCTCTGCTGAGCCGACCTTTTGCCAATTGTTCTGCTTTTAAAGCTTTAATGCAAGCTTCTTTTGCCTAAAGTTTAGAATAACAAATCAGAAAATGAAATAAAATAAAATAAATAGATAAATTACTTGTACTGTGCCTCTTTATCAATATATTTATTTTTGTCTTGAACATGGGATGAACTTTTGTGGAAATCAGATCAATTAAAAAAGAGAATTTTTGCCGTCGAAAGATAAGATGAACTTTTTCCCTTCCAGGAGGTTAATATTAGTTCTAATTTAACACATTACCGCTAACATTCATTCCCATCCTAATAGAAAGAAATTGTTTCTTTCTGACAAACCCTTAGCCTCTAGGGACTAGCCTTCTCAAAATTCCAGATTATAGTATTGCAGTTCTCAAATGAGTTTGTAGTGCCTGTTGGAAAAATTAAGCTGCATAATATAACTAATGCAAATATGTACATCCTCTGAGATATACAGAAGTTACGCAAGCTTGAAAGGAATATTCCATTCACTATTTAAAATATAGAATGATTGGAACAAGATGGCTGTAGATTTTGACAAGTATCTCAAGGATTGAAAGAAAAGAAACACACGAGAATATTATCACCAGAAAACTATAATGACCCGAATTTTTCGGATAAATTTTTTTCCGTTGTCTTTTCCCTTCTGAGTTTGGTTTCTTGTCGATTAGTGTCGTCTCGAGTGCTCTGGAGTGATTTTCGAGACTTTTTTCTGTGGATTGACAACTTCCTTTGAGGACCGAGTCAATTCCGCATTTTTTGTTTTTCGACACTATTCACTTTTTGTCTTTTCCCTATTTTGTCTTTTTCCCTATTTCATCTTTTCCTCTTTTGTCGCTCTATTTGCGTAACCACACTTCTTGTGTTCGGAGTTGGTTTCTCACTTCACGTATCTTCATTCCCAATGATTTCTATAAGATACATATCTTTACTTTCGTGAGAAAGTACTCTGGTTGCTCCCGGTGTCCATAGGGGCATAATTGCAAAGTTCTTTAAAAATTTTTTCTTTTCTTGGGGTGTTTTTCATAAATATCTTTTGAAGATTTTTCCTTTCAGGGGTATCTAACAAAATATCTTTTGGCATTCTAGGGCAGTTTCGCTGTTTTCACTTTTTGGAGGGGTTATTGTGCAATTAATGAAAGTTATTGCTCAATGCCTTGTTTTGAGCCTGGATTCTTGTATATGATTCATTTTCACATTTCGTCGAGTCATGGACTCTTAGAATTTCCTCCTGGACGATGTTTTCCAGTTTCAGGGTTTCTGGCCCTAGTTTGCGCCAAACTTGTTTTGGGCATAACTCTCTGCTCGGGACTCGATTTTCGACGCCGTTTCTTCCATTGTTCATATTTTCTCATTTGGAATCTTTTTTGTTCACAGAGTTTTGCCGTTTGAGTGCGTCTGCTTAGATTTCAGTTTTCCGGACCCAGCAGGGCCCGTTCGGGACACTTTTGAGTTTTTCGATAAATAGGGGGCCTTTAAGTGAAAAATCAGATTTTTGCCCTCTCTCTCCTCTCTCTTGGCCGGATCTAGAGGCAGCCATGGCTGCCATCTTCTCTCTCTTCTTTTGAGCTTCTTCCCTTTAATGAAATACCTTAATGCCTTAGTGTTTATTGTTCCCCTCAGCGAGGCCTTCGATTCCAACCGATTGGAATCTTGTTTTGGCCATTTCTTGAGTTCGGGTTTGAAGTCAAGTTGTATTTTTGATGGGGCTTCCTTGGGATTCATGTTCGTGGTGTTGTTCCCGACAAAACTTAGGAGTTTCGTCAGATTCGGAGCTGATTTATTTTGGTGCGGGGTAGGGAATATTTTAGGCTTTTGTGTGTATTGTATTGAGTGTTTAGCATGATCATACAACTTATGTATGTGCCTTGTATCAAATCTAGAAGGTTAGTAATATTTAATTCTTTGTATAAGATTTAAAATTCATGATGATATGTAACTTTGATTTGAATTGTGGCATGGTAGAAAATCTTGTTTTAACATGTTGGTTAACATATATTAAATAAAAATTGCTCTTTTTAATTAATATTTATCTTTTGTGAAAGATTAAAGTTCATAGCCGTACCTTACATGAAATTAAGTTGTATTATACTTCTAAATTAAGTTTTGGCATGTTTGTTAACATACTTTAATTTGAGAGCATTTGGTTGAGTTTGAAAATTTAGAGACTTTAATTAAGAGAATTAATTAAAATCTAATTTTGTGGTTTTATGGGCCTAATTAAGCTTTTGTGGGAATATATGTAGTGACCATGATATGTCTATTAGCATATATTAAATTGGGGCCAATTGGAAATGATTTGAAATCCAGAGAGTTTAATTATTTTGATGTAATTAGATTCTATCTTGTTTATCCATGGATTTAATCATGTTTTAGAAGGTGCTTCTATTTTAAGATCATGGATTTAGACTTGTGAAGTATTCACTTGATTGTGTTATATGCATTGAAGGGCAATGTTGTTAAATTTATATTCATGAGAGTATGTTTCTATATGAATATATTGTTGGCTTGTGATTTCGTAGTATTATAGATATGAAATGTTTATTATGCACAATTGAGAGTTATATTGCTAACTTGTTACTATGTAGTAGTAATATGTATAAGTTATGAACTTATTTGGCTTATTTTGGAATCTTAGAACATTGTTGAGTTGAGATGGCTAGGGTTTGGCTCTAGTACGGGGACGTGAGTCCTCTAAGTCATTGAGATAGTGCGCACTTAGGGTGGTCTTCCCTGCGGGTTAATGCCTAGAATAACCATTGAGGTCTTGGCAGAATTCCGAGCGTGATGTCCAAGTCTTCCATTATTTGTTTTCGCATTCAATTCCAAGTTGACAATCATGTTTACCTTGTTGACTTGTGGTTTTGGCTATTGGCGATTTTGATATTGTTAAGTACATCCATACTAAATTGATATATTTAGTTGATTTCACACTTTTAGATTTCTAGTTGACAACCTAGAGAATCTATGTCTTGATGTGTGGTATTAGATATTCTAATTATGTTAAATTGTTATATTTAGTTGATGTTGCATTTTAGACTTCAAGTTGATAACCTTGAGAATCTATATGTTGTTGCTTTGTGTAAGCATGCTCCTATGTTGTTGCTTTGTGTAAGCATAACCCTATGTTGCTAACATTGCATGGATGAGGTGATTGATGCTATAAATGATTTTAGGTAGTTAGGATGCTCCTTGAGTCTCACCTTTGACATAGACGTTAGGTGGAATGAACCACAATAATTAAATCATGCAAACTTGTAAAAAGTAGGTCGATGCATGTTCATTTCCTACGAGTAACTTTATGTTACTCACCCCTACGATACTGGGGCATATTTCAGCTACAAGAATTAAAGTTGAGACTTCCATTATGCTTGGATGACTTGTGGACTTGAAGACTTCCATTTTTGTGAAGGTTGGCTCGGAATGCCAATTGTAGTCTTAATTGTTAAATGTGTATATTCGATTCGAAACTTGTAATGTGTGCCTAAGCACACTTTTGATTCTCATTTTATGTATATGACATGAGGCCAAGGGCCAAACTTCTTTTAGAATCACATTTATGTCATGGATGTTGATTTTGCCTTTAATGAGATTATATGAAATTCTTGCGTTTTAGTACGTTATTTTGCACCGGAGCGTGTATTGTGTATGAAATTCGTTATCTAGAATTCATTTAATATGTATGAGGTGTGGCCAAAGGCCAAATGGTATTTTGAAGTCATTTCATAGTTTTGAATTCCAAGTTTTCATTCCAAATTACATTTTTGGCATTTTGGCCGTTGGGGGGTCATATTTTGTATCGGCCATATTTTTGGGCCATGGACCATTGTAGCACATCTTACTAGGTAAGTTACGTTTGCGTGCATGGTCGTTTCCAGGCAAAGCTTCTTCTTTGGTGAAATGAGCCTCCTACGGACTCATTTTACACTTTTGTTGCATATTCTGACCTAAGGGTATTTTGGGAATTTATTTTGGGAAATAAATTCCGTTCTTCACATGGTTGAATAGAAATGTGATTTTAGGGGGGTTTTTTCTTCTTGTTTTTCCAGAAAATGTCGTCTTGGCATTGGAAACCATTTCTGAAGTTCAGCTCTCAGTTTTTAAATTTAACAGCTTTTTGGACCTCCATGACCAGATTTCATGGAGGGGCATTTTGGGTATTTTACAATGCGTATTTTTCGATTTTCCTTACATGTCACGTAGAAAACTCAATTTTGAGAGGGGTTTCTTCTTTGTGTTTTTCCAGAAAATGTCATCTTGGCTCTCAAATTTCCATTTCTCCAGGAAAAACCCCTGCTGCCAGGGTTTCTTGCTGCCCATTCTGCCGCCTTCACATCTAAACGGTACGAGGGGTTTCGTAACCGGTTAGATGAGTGTGGGCAGTATATATGTCGTGATTTTTGGCCTCCTAACCGGTTAGATGTTCTTGGTTGTCACATTTTTGACCCTTTTGCCCCTTCTTCTTCCGTTAGCCATATCTTCTTCATTCAGACTCCGAATCAAGTGATTTTTGAGTCTAAGTTCATTGATTTTCCATTATCTTTCTAATGGTATGCTTGGTCACACCCACTTTTAAGCTGAAAATGACGATTTTGCCCTTAGGTGCATTCTTGTCCGTTTTTGAAATGTCGCTTCCGCATTTGTTTCCTTTGGGTTCTGTGACCTCATTGAGTGTCACATTGGTGTCTTAGAGATGCGTGGTATCTCTAGAGACCATTGTTTTGTCTTTTGCTTCCGCATTTCGAATCCGTTATCGGGTCATCTTTCGGTTCATCATTGACGCACCAGGTTGAAAAACTTGGGCCGTCACAAAAACCATAAAATCGCCTTCTCTTTAACTAACATTTCTAGTTCTTATTTCACAATACATATCAAAAGTTGTCAGTAGCATGTCATGAGATAAAGTAAATGCCTAAATTGCAGAACATAAAGCAATAGATGTACATAAATATCAAATTGAGTTTGCAGAGGGTGAACAAGCAATAGTAACAATTACATTATTAAAATGAAACATCTAGAGCAATAAATACTAAAAAATGCATATTCAGTTCATTCATTAGTCACCTGATTGACATGTATAACATGATCATTGCCATCAATATCAGATTTCTCCAAAATATTCCGAAGGTATGATAATTCCTTAATCAACTCCAAAACTACCTCTTCAGTATCTTGCATTTGATTTCTGGAGAACTCAAATGCTCTGTCAACATGGAGACAAAACGAAGCACAGTTTAGACAGTTGCAGAGCCCTCTGCATCGTCGTGGATTCCTCTTAAGAATCCCCCTTGGAGAACAATTGACAAGAATTCCGGAAGGAACAAATGCTCGGAAGAATTTTGATCCAATCTAACTGCTTCAATTGTCATTGCATCTTTAGAAAAATCCACCTGTGATACTTTGTCATTTTCGTTAATAATAATTGATAAACAATGAGAGGCTTCTGATATATCATCTTATGGCAAAGTTACAGGACTGAAAGGAGAGCATAACGACATAGATGTTGATGTTGTTTCATAAATCGAACGCACTTTATTATGGTTAGGTTCTAATTTCTCGGGTGCATCTAATTTAACCTGTTCAACTTGCAATATCCGTTCCTTCTTAAAATTAGTACTCTACATCTTAGTAGTCCTTTTAGCAAGTAACAAGTTTAGCTCATTATTAGATAAACCTTCAGTGGGAGCCAATATGGCAGGTGACAGATTTGGCCCCTTATCATAGGTTTGATTCTCCATGGAAAAAATTTATGTTTTACGTGAATCTATAGGGGTTTCTTGACCTAGCTGTGGTTTTTCCTCAACAATCTAAACTTGCAACCACTAGTAGAGTCGTGGACACAAGATGATCATATGGTCATACCTATGGTCATACCGTACAAAAACAACATACTTTCAGTGTGATCACACAAAACTGTGACTATAATTACACAAGTACAATGGCTAACTTAGACCATTTAAGACGACTTCTAAGTAATTTACAGAAGGAAAATAAAAAAATAAAAAACCTTCTAAGAAATGAATTACTCGTGAAAGAGTAATCTAAATATATAGAACTGATTCATAAGGCATTAAAAGAATCAGCGCAATATGATAGTGATAAGCTAAGTCAAATAATTCTTCTCAATGTGTCTCGGTCTCACGCTTCCAGTGCACTCCCACTCTCATGTTTCACACGCGCTCTCTCTCTTAGTCTCACTTTGTTTGACTTAAATTTTTTCGTTTTCGCGTTCTCGCTTCCACTCCCATTTTATATGAGTTAGGAGTTAGGACTGATAAGAAACAATAGAAGGAAAAGCCAATAGTAAATAATTTACAAATTCTTATTTATGGAAACGTAAGAGACTCAAAACATTAAGACATATAACTAGCATGTAGCTCAACAACCGTTAAACTTCACTCTATTTGTTTCAAAATGATCTAGTATTTTTTCTTCCTATTTCTTGTGTTTTCATGAGCATATTGAAACAGTTGCATTTTCGGTTGAGACATTCATCAAACAGTGCATGGACATTCATAACACACTTAGAAAATAGATAATGTGTTAGCAATGGCTATTTGGTACTTGATGACCGCTTAAAAGTGCGCATTTAAACCCCTTAAGCGATGGTATTTTAGTTCATTCATCTATCTTTATTTACCCATTTTAGTACTTATTTGTGTTTTTGTCTATTTCAGGTCAATAATGTTAAAACGGGCTAAAAATGGTTTCTTAAGGCCTTTTTGGAGTCAAGCTAAGTCTTGGTGAGAATTTGGAGCAAAAAGAGGCTGATATTGAAAAGCTACTAAGTGAGATCGATTATGAGAACGATAGGAAAAAGTGAGATCGATCGAACTCTGATCGATCAAACTTTCTAAAATCGATCAAACTGTTCGTGAAAGTTATTAAAAAGCATATCTGAATCTCATTTCGAACCAACTCGGGCAGAGCTTGTAAGGGAAGATTCTAGGGTCGAGTTTTCACATTTTTGGGCTCCCAAAGCCTTGTATATAAGAGAGATTCAACCACTTTGTTGAGAGATCCATACTTTTACATTGTATTTTCTATATTCCCTTTAGTTTTTCTCTCTAGAAAGTTAGAGATTGGGGTTAGAAGAAAAGAGGGAAGTGGAGGCACATCTCAAGATCCATCTCTAGATCCATTCTCTCTCTATCTCTAAATCTTCAAAGAAGAAGAAGAAGAAGAAGAGGAAGAAGAAGATGGAGTCATATTTGGAGCTCACCCTTGAGGGTTTCATGACCACATCTACCTCCTCTATGATTGGCTAGATCTACACTTAGGGCTTGCATGAGCCCTAAGTATTGTGTAATCTAAACCCTTGTATTTCTATTTTTGGGGATTTATATATATATTGTTGTGATTAGTGTTCTAACCTTGTGAATTTAATGAATCTTGGTATATTTCTATAATTTCTATGGTTTAATTCTTCCTATTAATTCTCTAGTTTATTTACATGTCTATGTGTGATTAAATTATGAATTATTTCTTACATGATTCATATGGATTAATTCTTTCTATTGATTCTCTATTTGATTACATGTTATCTTATGTGTGATTATTTGGGAATTAAGCTCTACACTAGATTCTCTATGTTGGTTGCATGTCTATGTGTGATTAATTAAGGATTTAGTGATGGCTAAGCATGGTTTTTATTGAATGGGTTTGTCAATTAATTTGATAGATTATTCTTATACTTGATGGGTTGTTCTACAATTTAATTCATGTTTGTAGGTAGGTAGACAATCTATACTTGATTTGATATTCCATGACTTATTATTGCAAATTCCATGATTCTCTAGATTGATGTGTGCTACAATTGTTACTAATTTGATGGGTCATGCTTAGAATTGATGGGTTGTGCTACACTTAGTTTAAGGAGACAATTCATACTTTAATTTAATGGTCCATACTTAATATTGCAATTGGTAGTCGCATTTTGTTCACAACAATGTATTCCCCATTAATGGAAAGCAAGTGGTTAATTACATGAGCTTAGTGGTGATTCCAACACCCTAAGACCTCTCTGCATATCTCTTAAATCCCTATCTCAACTTAGCTTTATTTTAATTGCATTTTCTTTAATTGAAGTAGTTTAATCATCTCATCAAATCTCTTTGCAATCTTGTGATACATTAAAGTCAAAGTTAAATTCCAACACGTATAATCACTTGGGACGATCCCTACTCACTCTTACTACGTTAGTAGTAGTGGTGGTAATGGTTTTTATAAATTTAAACTTGACCAAAAAGGCTTTTCTTAAACCGCACATTCACTACATTATTTTGGCATATAGGAACGGCCTCGTCAAGTTTTTGGTGCCGTTGCCGGGGTTTAATTGATTGGTAACGTAGTATTTATGGAATCAATTAGGAATTAGTACTCTTTTGATTGTGTCTTTACTTTATTTTCATTTCAATTTTTGTTACTTATTGTGTTGGTTCTTGTTTGACAAGGTGCGTTGAGCTAAGAAGGTGAGCATAGGAGCATCCAAGCAAAGGAGCTAAGCAAGCAAAGGAAAAAGGCTAAAGTTATAAAAAAAATTGCTAAGCTAAAAGTTAAAAATTTGGAGTTGAAGTGCTAAAGGACCTTTGTGAGCTTTTTCTTACTCAAACCCTTAGTTAAATCGTCGGCCTGTATGGAGGCTTGTATTTCAATTCTTAGATAAATCGTGAGCCCGTGTGGAGGCAATTTACTTTTCTTGCATATTGTTGTTAAAGCATGGGAGTATGGGAACATTGTATGTCGAGGAAGTTTGTTGATTATTGACTTGTTGTAAAGGTGAAGTGTTTGTCATTATTTCTTGTCGTGTTGCATTGTGCATGCATGGTCGTAGATCATTGAGACCCACTCTTGTCCATTTAAATTTTCATCTTGACTCCATTGTTCAAAACCTTAGGGAAAGATGTAGTTCTAGTCAATTCATTTCATCAATGGAATGACACAATGAGGACCATGTGGAGGACCTTGGTCACATAGACCAATAAGTTATCCTCCACCCCAATGTGCATCATGATAACATGCAAGTTCCATTAGGCATGCCAAAGCCATTCATTCATCCACCACAACAACAAGGCCAAGTCCCATTGGGAATGCCAAGGCCAATCTATGCTCTACCTCCCATCATTCAAGGCAATCAAGGTGCCCATGTTGCACCTCCAATTGCTAATCATCCCCTTACTTTAAGAGATCACTATGTGCCTAATGAATATAATGACAACAATCATGGACTTCCAAGTGAAGAACCTTATAAGCATTTGGATGAGTTTCTTGAAGTATGTTCCACCGTGAAATACACAGACATACCGGAAAAGGTCTTAAAGCTTAAACTTTTTCCATTCACCCTTAAAGATAAGGCAAAATTTTAGTTTAACAAGCTTAGGCCTTTTTCAATAACTTCTTGGGCAGAAATGCAATAAGAGTTTTTGAAGAAGTACTACCCGGTTTCTAAGACCAATGCCATAAGAACTTCAATTAGGGAATTTTCACATAGGGATGGGGAAACATTTCATGAGGCATGGGAACGCTTTAACGAATTGCTTAGGAAGTGTCCACATCATGACATGCCCAAATAGCAATTAGTTCAATATTTCTTTGAGAGCTTATCGGATAATTACAAGGGCATGGTTGATGCTTCCATGGGTGGCTCTTACATTGATAGGCATGAGGATGACGTGAGGCGTCTTTATGAGAGAATGAGTGAAAATTCTTTGCATCGTACCTTATCTTCGAAAAATAGTAGAAATTCTAATGGTAGGAAGAGTGTTGGCTTACATCAAGTCGACCACTCCAATGAAATTGCCGCCGAGATGAAATCATTATCTCAAAGGTTTGATCAATTTTTTATCAACCAAACCTTGGCGAATCAAGTATCTTCCTTCCCTAACCATTCTCATCATGCATCTAATGAGACATGTATGACTTGTTCAAGTGTTTTACATTCTACTTCCAATTGTCCCCATGGACATGTGCAAGGTGAGCATCATGAACAAGTAAATGCAACATTTGTGAATCAAGGAAACAATCCTTATGGCAATCACTACAATCCTAGTTGGAGGAATCACCCGAATTTCTCTTGGAAAAACCAAGGAGAAGGCTCAAACCCTCCCCAAGGCGGTTTTCAAGGGAAATACATTCCACCTCCACTACAAAGCCAAGGTTCCCAAGGTTTTAGATCATCATACCAATCACAAGGAAACCAATTCTCTAATTCTCATTTTCCTAATCAACCATTATATTCCCAAGGAAATGTTAGAAGTCCCGCTTTTGAAGAGAAAGTTTTGACCGCTTTGGGCACTTTAGAGGCAAACACACAATTGATTCATTCTCATTCTCAATCCATTGCTAAGCTAAAAACCCAAGTAGGGCAAATAGCTAGTACTTTGAATGCTAG